CTGCTGAACTCCGAGTACTTCAGCGAGGGGAGGCGCCGAGAGATACTCAGCCACTACCAGCTGAGGAAGCTCACCCTGGAGCAAATTCGAATCATGTTAGAAGAGGAAATGAAAAAATGGGCCCCCATAAGGTTCCCAGCCATGAGAGGCAGCGTCAGCGCTTACCACCTGATGGAAACAGGTGTCATTGACAAGGTCCTGTTTGAGAAGGTGTTGGAGGGATCTGTCACACCAGAGGAAGTCCTGCACATGGACTCTGTCAGAAAGTATCTCTATGGCTCTGGAAGCATTGGGGGGATTGTACTCCAGCCATCAAACCAAAGGATAAGCATTTATGAGGCCATGAAGAAAAACATCATGGTGCCAGGAGTAGCCCTCCCACTGCTAGAGGCCCAGGCTGCCACAGGCTTCATCATTGACCCTGTGAACAACCAGAAACTCTGTGTGGATGATGCCATCAAGGAGGGGGTTGTTGGGCCAGAAGTCCATGAAAAGCTGCAGCATGCAGAAGGGGCTGTAACAGGCTATAAAGATCCTTTCACAGGGAAGAAGATACCTCTCTTCCAGGCGATGAAGAAGGGCCTGATTGCTGACAAACAGGCCATGCAGTTGATGGAGGTGCAGATGGCTACAGGAGGCATCATTGACCCAACATGTGGCCACTATATCCCCATAGAATCTGCCCAGAAGCGAGGGTGTCTGGATGAGGACACAAGCAAGGCCCTTTCTAAGCCCAGTGACACCATCAGAGCCTTCTGCGTCCCAGAGAGCAAAGAGACCGTGACCTATGCTGAACTAATCAAGCGCTGCCAGAAGGATGAGATCTCCGGCTTCCACTTGCTGCCTCTGCCACAGACAGCAGCTCCTGCCTACACTGATGAACAAATCCAACGGATTTTTAGGGAGACTGTGGTGAAGGAAAAAGGGGTCTCCCTCTGGGAGCTAATCCACTCTGGGTATTTCACTGAGGAGCAGAGGAGTGACTTTGTGGAGAGGTTCCGGTCTGAGGAAATGTCGCTGCAGCAGCTGGTTGCTCTTGTGCTCAGACTGGTTGGGGAGATGGAAATGAAAGCCCACACCCACATCACCTTGGAAGGCTTGCGGGGCAGTGTCCCTGCAGTCTGGCTGCTGGATGCTGGCATTATTACTGAGAAGACATTTGAAGAACTGGCTCAGGGCATAAGAACTCCCGAGGAAGTGGCTGCGATGGAGGGTGTGAAGAGGTACTTGCAGGGCACAGGCAGCATCGCCGGGGTATTCGTAGAGGCATCCAAAAAGAAGATGAGCTTTTATGATGCCATGAAAAACAATCTCCTTCTCCCTGGGGCTGCTCTGAGGCTGCTAGAAGCTCAGGCAGCCACAGGATACCTAAGTGACCCAGCAACAAACCGGAGACTCAGCGTGAGGGATGCTGTGAAAGCAGCTGTTGTTGGTGAAGAGCTCACTGAGAAACTCCTTCTAGCTGAGAGGGCAGTGACTGGCTACACAGACCCTTACACGGGGAGCTCCATCTCACTATGCCAAGCACTCAGGAAAGAGCTGATTCCCCTGGGAGATGCTGTTCCCTTGCTAGAGGCCCAGCTGGCCACAGGAGGGGTCATTGATCCCATTCACCACCATCACCTTCCACTCCAGGCTGCATTTAGATACGGCTTCTATGACGAGGACCTGAACCAAATCCTCTCTCAGCTGAATGACAGCACCAAAATCTTCTTTGATCCAAACACAAAGGAGAATGTGACCTACCAGCAGATGAAGGACAGGTGCATTCACGAGGCTGAGTCAGATCTCTGGCTCCTTCCTCTATCAGAAAACGCGATGTTCTGTGTGGATGAACAAACCATGGAGGTGCTGAAATCTGTGACTGTTTGTGTCAACATAGGGCGGTTCAAAGGACAGACAGTGTCAGTCTGGGACCTTCTCAACTCTGAATACCTCTCAGACAGCAAGAGAAGAGAGCTAGTGCAAAAGTACAAAGATGAGAATACAGAAGTGCTACATGAAATCATAAAAATTGTCACTACAATCATCAAAGAGACTGAGACACAAGGCAAGAAGTTTGCATTCAAGGGCCTGCGGAAAAGAGTATCTGCCAGTGACCTCTTCCAGTCTCAACTGATTGACAAGAAAACCCTTGATGAGCTCAATCAGGGGAAGAAAACAGTCAAAGAAGTCACTGAAATGGACTCTGTCCGCAAGTACCTGGAGGGCAGCAATTTCATAGCAGGGGTCCTTATACAGCCAAGCAATGAGAAGATGAGCATCTACCAGGCCATGTGGAAGGGCATCCTGAGGCCAGGGACAGCACTGGTGCTGCTGGAGGCACAGGCTGCCACTGGCTACATCATTGACCCAGAGAAAAACAAGAAGTTTTCAGTGGAGGAAGCATTAACTGCAGGTCTAATTGGAGGGGAGATTTTTGAAAAGCTACTCTGTGCAGAAAGAGCCGTGACGGGCTACAACGACCCCTACACAAAAGCCCCAATGTCCCTATTTGAAGCTATGAACCAAGGACTAATTGTGAAGAGCCACGGCATCCGCCTGCTTGAGGCCCAGATTGCCACCGGCGGCATCATCGACCCTGTGCACAGCCACCGTATCCCTGTGGAGGTGGCCTACCAGCGTGGCTACTTCAATCAGGAGATGAACCAGATCCTCTCCGACCCCACTGATGACACCAAGGGCTTCTTTGACCCCAACACCCACGAGAACCTCACCTACATGCAGCTCCTGGAGAGATGTGTCCAAGATTCAGAGACGGGGTTGTACATGCTACAAGTTGTACAGGAAGGAGGAAAGTACTTCTACATTGATGAGTTTACAAAACAGGTTTTGCGCTCAAAGACCCTTGAGGTAAAAGTTGGAAAATTTAAGGACCAAACAATCTCCATCTGGGAAATCCTTTGCTCTCATTACATCTCCGAGCAGAAAAGGAAAGAACTAGTGATGCAGTACAAATGCAAAACGCTCACACTGGAAGAACTTATAGCCCTCATCCTCAAAATAATTGAGGATACAGAGCAAAGAGCAGAAGCCCTCAAGGTTAAAGGACTCCGGGGGGATGTGTCAATATCAGAATTGTTTAACTCTGAGATAATTGACAAGAAAACTCTAGAGCAGCTGCAGGATGGGAGTCTCACGCTTGCCAGCCTCACAAAGAGGGACACTATCAAAAGGTACTTGGATGGCACTGGATGTATTGCTGGGGTTCTACTCCCATCAAGGAAAGAGAAAATGAGCATCTACCAGGCCCTGGAGAAGGGCCTCCTCACAGAGCAATATGCACTGGGGCTGCTGGAGGCACAGGCTGCCACTGGTTTTCTCATTGACCCACTGAAAAATAAGAAGCTGTCTGTGGATGAGGCTGTCTCGTGTGGGCTGGTGGGTAACAACTTGCACAAGAAGCTCCTGTTTGCAGAGAAAGCTGTGACAGGATACACAGATCCTCATGCAGGAAATAAAATATCTCTCTTCCAGGCCATAAGGCAAAAAATAACAGCCAAGGAGCACGGCATCCGGCTGCTTGAGGCCCAGCTCGCCACTGGTGGCATAATTGACCCTGTGCACAGCCACCGCCTCCCTGTGGAGGTGGCTTACCAGCGTGGCTACTTGGATGATGATATGTTTCTCCTACTTTCTGATCCAGATCATGGTAGCAAAGGTTTCATAGATCCAAACACTCATGAGAAAATCAGTTACACTCAGCTTCTACAGAGATGCTCCAAAGACGAAGATACTGGACTGTACCTACTGCAGGTCACGGAAAAAGAAGATGACTATTTCTACATTGATGAGCAAACAAAAAAGAACCTATTAGCTACAAAGGTACAAGTACCTGTTGGAAAATACAAAGGACATGTATTCTCACTGTGGGAACTTCTCTGTTCTGAGTACATCACAGAAGAGAAAAGAAAAGAACTGGTGAAGAAATATAAAGAGGAATCCCATCATATTCTACAAGGAATCATTGATACAATACTAAATATTATTAAAGAAAAAGAAGAGGACAGAAGTGACGTCTGGTTCCAAGGACTGAGACAACAAATAACAGCATCAGAACTTCTCAGTGCACAGATAATTACAAAAGAAACAATGGCAAAACTGCAAGAAGGAAAAGAAACGGCACAAGAAATAGCAAAAATGGATAATGTGAGAAGATACCTTGAGGGAACGGGAAGCATTGCGGGCATGCTGGTGCCCTCCAAGGCCGACCCCGCCAAGATGGAGAAGAAGAGCATCTACCAGGCCATGTGGAAGGGCATCCTGAGACCAGGGACAGCATTGGTGCTGCTGGAGGCACAGGCTGCCACCGGCTTCATCATTGACCCGCTCACCAACAAGAAGCTCTCCGTGGACGAGGCCGTCTCGTCCGGCCTGGTGGGCAGCGAGCTACAAAAAAAACTACTTTCGGCAGAGAGAGCTGTGACGGGCTACACCGACCCCTGGACAGGACAAAAGATGTCCCTCTTCCAGGCCATGAAGAAGGAGCTCATCGTCAAGGAGCACGGCATCCGCCTGCTCGAGGCCCAGATCGCCACCGGCGGCATCATCGACCCCGTGCACAGCCACCGCCTCCCAGTGGAGGTGGCCTACCGGCGTGGCTACTTTG